CGGGAATTAATGAAATTCCGAAGAAGTAATAATGTGCCTCGTGCGCGCGTTCTTCGGGGAGTCGAACAAAAATGGGTCAAGCGCGAGAAAATTCGAATGAATCCGCGCCTACCGCGATCGTCCTACGTCCACCGTTTTATTTTCGCCAAAATTACCACTTCCCGAGAAGGTAGGCTTCGTGTTGCAATGGAACGAGCTTTACGAAGCGTAACTCGATACAACCAAGAGACTTTCACCCGTGAATTCCGAATAAAAGACACACCACTTCAAATTTTATTATCTATTTCAGTAAATGGATTTTTGCTACGAAGTAGTAAGACCTCTCTCTCTCTCTCTCTCTCTCTGTCTATCTTTCTCTGTCTCTGGACTCGACAAGAATAACGTGAACGATATGGATGATGTGTCAATCGTGATTTCATCAGTTTTGCTATAATATCGTCTTCCTTCTCGACGCGATCGTGTATAACGTTGCTATTCTCGGAGAAAACCGAATCGCGCGGCGAAATCTCCTCTCGTACGCCGTTTCTATGACGACAAAATGGAAAGATATGTTCGATCGTCCAGTGCGACGAAGGGAGAATCCTTAATCTTTCTAGTCGCAAAGCGTGGTGGACCCTCTGAAAGACTCTTCTGGGTTTCCGCGTCTATGATAAATATCGATAAACAAAAGTCATTCGACTAGAATATTATCATTTTTCAAAAATCTAATAGCCATGTTATGTCTCCCGCAGTATTTAATAAAATTGGTACCTGTAGGGATATTAGAACTATAAATTATAGATAGTTAATTTAAATTTCATACGTGTTATCTCGCTTCATGTTATCGGCCAAATTTTTTGCGCAGGAGCAAACCCACCCAGTGGAAAATTAATTTCCTCCCTCCCATTACCGAAAGATCACGATTGATCGCTCCAGCGGAGTATACAAGAATTCGTTAATTAAGATTTAAATCATGTTCCAAAGTAAAGCGAATGTCTCTCAATCAACTTGAGCCTCAATAGTCACGAATGGACTGTTACATTTTCAACAAACGGCGCATACTCGAGATTTCGTCTTATACAGAGAGAGAGAGAGAGGGAGAGAGAGAGAGAGGGAGAGAGAGAGAGAGAGAAAGTGTGTGTGTGTGTGTGTGTGACCCTATTTTTAAATTGATTTTATCTTGAGGAAATTTCGATCAGACGTTTTAATATAAAGTATTCCGTAATGAGATTCTGTAAAGTTACATCATATGCAATATTAAACTGAACAGATCCGACGTTATCTGAATGATAATACATAACCATATGCGTTGCAAATTATTTCGTGACCTGTGTACTAGTGTTATACTTTTATACCCGGAATTTCTCTTCGTTCGTTCTGTTCAACTGTTACCTAAAACTCAATAAAAAATGTCGCTGTTACAACATATACTTTTCTAAAACTTATAATATTCGATGAGATGGTATCGCAATTTATATACTTCTTCTACTTGATAATGACACCCGATCGCAACACTGATATGGCCAACGTTAGACTGTGGTATACATGAGTACAAATGAGAGATGTTGCAACACTAATTAGATGAAAATTAAGAAATACAGAGAAATGTGCGTTAATGAGTGTGCGCAATGTGTTACTGCACTGAGAAAAAAAAACCCATGGTTGAACTCGAGTCTGTAGGTTCGTTAAACCCAAAGGATTGTGCGAATCAATCCTCCCTGCGGGAGCAAGGGATATACTTATAAATAAAGTTATAATTGTTACCTGCAACTCATATGTACCAAGACTTAGTCCACTCTCTTACTTCCTCTATCAAATGCATATATATATGTAGATGGTAATGCATAAAGTTATTACAGTGTTTAAATCATGCATTATACGCGCTGTTAGAGCTGGGAAAGTTCGAAAATTCCACGAGAATGGCGGTCCATTAATAGCAAGAGACATTTTCTCGCTATGGATGTTTAGACCAAAAGTAAGTGCAAACCATGAGCGCTCATAAGGGAGGGGGCAAGGAGAAGACCCCTGGATTTTAATTTTTTCAATTTAGAATAATTTTATAATTGACAACTGGAATTTTTTCTTTGAAATTCATCCACACACATACTATCTCAGAAAAAAGAATCAGAAAGAATTTATAGACACAAATAAAATAATTAATGACCTCTGTCACATAAAAAACTTTAATGAAGAAGCTGAAATATAGAAATAGATGCTTTTTCAAAACTGCTCCTCCTTGAAAAAAGTTGTAAGGGCGCCCATAGTGCAAACAGTCGCAAAATTGGTCAGATAATACAAATGAATCGTAAAATTTAACTTTATCGCGATTTCGACGAGAGCTGCAGAAAGAATAATATTGCAAACAAGCGTAACCATCACCGCTGGCGTGCTTGCAAAGAAAGCGCAAATGCCGCGTATCGTATAATTATATGCATATTCGTTCGTTCGTAATTTGACGGCACGCAAAGGTTTCCGCTCCGACTCGGTCACGCGATTGGAAACCAACCCGCGGAATATCCTAACATCAAAGAACATCCCGCGCGATATCCGTTCGTTCCCTAAATTGCCGCAACATCGTTCAGCAATTGGAACAAAAATTTAGCCACTTGAAGCTTTCTGAGCCTCGAATCCCGCTCGGCCTCCTGGCGAGTGGTGGAACAGAGAAGACTTTGTCGAAAATGTCCAGAGGACAAGCGGTCGCGTTGGCTACGGGCAATAATGTCAGACTCGCGACAGAAAATGGAAACGGTTGCGGGTGTCGACCAAGGGTTGATGTGGGCAAACAAAGAGGAGAAGGATGAGACGGAGGAACGTATGGCGACCGCTTCATCATCGTGTCGAGAAATCAAAACACGAAAGACATGGTGATGGAAAAACAGGGAGCTCCCTGGCTCGCGTGCATAGCGCGCGGTATGAATTAAACATACGCTGTTCGCGATCCGGGCGACGGAGGTTGAGGCAAGGAGCGACGCCAAGAAGCGTCGCGTTGGCAGAGAGATGAAGGGAGGAATGATAAGACAACTCAGTGAAATTGGAGTCGTACGAAGGAAAAGACGGAGGCGAAAGGCGGAGGGGAGTGCAGGGTGTACGTGTTGAGGCGTTGCTAAATTGTCGGGCTCCTATACTAAGATACTACGCACTAAAAAGTATTTCAATGAAACGAAATATAAATATGCATGTACGCGGCTTGCGTAAACTTATACCGTAAACTTATATCGCTGCCTCCCCGATTGAAACCATCAATGTTCTTGGTTCGATTTCCATTATCTACGCTTCGGGTAAAGTTCGCAACTCGTGTGGAGCGTCCTATCGACCCCGATATTAGTTATTCGTAGCGCCCATCCCTAACCATGGGCCTGTCCAACGATTGGAAGGACAATAGCTGGGAGTTTGCGAGGACCGGCCCGAAACTTGGCTCCGACATCCAACAGTGGAACTCGAAACTCACCCCCATGAGTGAGTACGTCCGCGATGACCTCGGTCCTCACTCGCCACCATCCAGCCACCACTCTCGCGTGATCGTTCGCCTTCGGCTATCTCCGCTGATGATCGGTCGCGCGCAACCCTCTCCAACGAGGCGGACAGGATGACCGGGGAAAACGACCAGCGTGGAGAGGGTGCGGCCGAATGCGGGGAACGACGAGGCCAACGGTTACGAGAGCGATATATGGCCCGCGGTTTTAAGAGCGATGAGAAGCGATACAAAAGTCCCGCAGAGAGACAGAAGGGAAAGGAGGAAAGATGTGCGCGCATACGCATATTTTTGGATCTTTCCTTATCCCTTTCTGGTCCGCTCGCTGGTATATGCGTAATAGCGTACGTTTGTACACAGAGCACATAGAGCCGTGATTCCCCCAACACGCCTCGGGCGAGAGGGAGCGCACGAGAGTAGGAAACAACCATAGTCAGACACATGTACATCCTTTCGCATGTGCATACATAGATACTCCGTATAAACTCCCACATATGTACGTAGGTACAGCATCGGCGGAGGGCCCCAGTGCGCCACCAACGAGTTCCCCGACCATTCCCCTCTTCCCGAGCTAGGTCCTTCTCGCTCGACCCTTCAGCCGTCTTCTCGCATTCCTCTCTTTCGCGCGCATGTTTTCCGCATGCTGGCCCCCTCTGACCCACCCGTCGTTGCCGCTCTACTCTCTCGCGCAAACGCTGTGGTCGTATTCTCCTTACCATCTGACGGTCTATCCTTGTCTAACTCGTACATTTCTATCTCTTCCTCTCGTATCTCCTACCCTCACAGAATATGCTCGACATAGCAGCAACGGCGGCGGCGGCGGCGGCAACAGTAGAGGTGGTGGCGATGGTGGTGGTGGTGACGACGACGACGACGACGACGACGACGGCGACGACGGCGGCGGCGGCGGCGGCGGCGGCAGCGACAGCGACAGCGACAGCGGCGGTGTTGCTGCTGGTGGTGTGTGCACGCGCGGTGCTGCCTTAACGGCGTATCGGTGCGGACAGTGGCTTTAGACTTGAAACTGTGGAAGAAGGGCCGCGAGCTCGGCCGTGCTCCGATGGCCTGATACGCACTTGGGAGACGCATTCATGAAGCTCCACTGCCCTGACTCGTCGAGTGAGTAGCAAAGTTTGTGACATTTCCTCTTGCTGGGTGCCGCGGTGATGATCGAAGCAGCGGGGTGACGCGACGATAGGATAAGGGAGGGAAATATACTCGCGGACGCGCCGCGCCGTATCGTACCCCGTCGGTCACTCTCCCTTTCTCCCGTAACGCGCGATCGTTCGCGAGAGTGGCCTCTTCGTAGAAATGCCGTAGTGAATTGTCTGCTCGACGACGGTGACAACGACAATGATGACGATGACGACGACGACGACAACGACGACGACGACGATGACAAAGATGAAAACGAGGACGAGGACAAGAACGAGAACGATGACAATAGCATGCGAGTCCACGTCCCCGAAAACGGACGACCGTCAGTAGTGGCGCGACATCACCAGCAACGTCATGTTACGATCGTCCCTCCTTCGTGGCGGCTGTTAAATCGGCGTGGGTCGATCAAGAGCCGGGGAGAGTAGGGGGAGGAGGAGGCGATTTTTAACCGGAGGAGGGAACAGCGGGAGAGAGAGAGAGAAAAAGGGAGAGAGAGAGAGAGCGTGTTTCCTCCTCCAGGCCGATTAACAGTTGGCCCGAGGGACGCGAGGCGATCGAGTTGGTTTCTTCGGTGCGGCCGCGAGCCTCGGCCTCGGCCGAGGCGCAATAAATATCGACCACAGCAGTGGAGGCTTAGCGATGCGAAAAGTGGACCATTCGATCGGGCCACGTCATATTTCCTAGCGCTCGGCATCGTCGTCGAAAAGGCGCGAGATGCATTACGACATGTGCCCGTTCCCCGGGGGAGAGGGGGGATGCTCGTGCGCTTTCAATTATCAGCGCGCGAAGTCCCCCCGGGTTACATATGCGCTCCAGACCGTCGTGGTAGGTTCTTCGCGATTTAGACGAGACGTTGGTTTTCGGAACGTGTCAAAAAATGGTGGTGGGCGGGGGCTGAAAAAACATTGGTAGAAGGGTGCGACTATAGCAACGGCTTCAAAATATGTTTCTTCAGCCCCCGCCCACCATTTTTCGACAGAATCCAAAAACCAACGTTTTCTTCGTACCGCCCCGACGCGACGTCTCGTCTAAATCGCGAAGAATCTACCATGGCGGTCTGAGCGCGCTATCTAACCCGAAGGGCTTCGCGCGCTAATAATCGGAATGTCAGTACATAGAAATATTATAATATCAATTCTCTATAGTTCCTGTGTAAATCATACTAAACTATAGGCAACGATTCATCTACGGTAGTGCTACAAGTGTTGGTAACGTGGATCTCCCGTTATTTCGACGTATATGTCGATGGACGTTTCAGAATTGCCGAATGATAAAACGATGATGCATTTATGGCAGTGCCAACGCAGTGATAGTGTAAGGTGATAGTGCTCATGCGACGCATTGCACTTTTCGGATGTCCTATCATACTGTTAACGCAGTATTGAAATATTAAGGTATACGTCGTTCGGTACCTTTCACGATAATTATTTCCAGCTAAACATATGCCGAGCGCAAAGAATACTGACGATAATTACAATGAGTAATTACATACCATAAACGTAATTTTTAATGACAACATTTTTTTCAAAATTATGTTAAAATGTTCCTATTAAGTACGTGGAAAATTTCGGCAATATGAAAATTGTGTTTGCGTGATTTACCGCATATCGTCAACTTTTGATTATCCAATATGCCTTATTTGCATGCTGAATGTATTGCTCTTTCGTATCGCTTCACATTCCTGGAAATCTAATAGTCTGAGTCAAGGCAAATTCGGCCGATTCACATTGTGACGCAATGCACGGCAATTAAACCGGCAAATATCCCACAGACAGCGATCGATTTTTATTCGCTGTGCAAGCGTGCCTTAATTTGTTAGTATCAACACGATAACGTCGACGGAGCGATGATAATTGGAATTCGCGTTATCATGCAATATCGATGCGCCCATTTTGGAATCCACCTGTCTACTGCGTGACTTTTCAAGGGCTGATGATTCATCCCCGATTAAGCGGGCCGTTATTAAGGGATAGTTATCAACCAAGTTTTGTTTCTGATTGCGTTTCGGCGTTTAAAGATGCTTATTCATCTTGTCTATCTCAGAATTAAATCCGTGGTAGTTGAAGAAGATCGCGGAAAAAGCTGTAAATGTAACATTGCGACTGTTTTACAATTCGTATTCACGGTATGAACAAGTTTCATACAATCTGTGAAATTATAGTCAGCGATGAGAAAGCCGTAATTCGAAAAGGATTAAGTCTTCACAAGGTCTTGTCAAAGTTATATTTCCTTGTTTCCTAAATGTCACAAGTAACTTTCAAGGATGTTTCGCTTTTCGTCCAAAGAGACACCCACACAGACCACATCATGACTTTTTTCGCAAAATCGCAGAAATAACAGTTTAATTAAATGCGCTTTTAATCCTTTTCCGCGATTATTATTACGGCTCGTATTACGGGCGAAAATATACAGCGCGATCGAAACGAAATATAACGGTACAATTTTTAAATCGGCATAGCAATCGTGAAGCTGTAACTTACGATCTTACGATCGGCTCAAGCAGCTCGATTGCTTCTCTCTTTGGCGTGAAGTGAAAATTCGTGGTGTAAAAATTTAATTAAAATTTGAATCTATCGCAGCTATTGTTCCGCGAGGTGCGATCGAGATTGGGCGCGCTTTCGGGCTGAGTCCCGATTTTGATGTTTTATTTACTGACACGGCTCGCACGGCATCGCATGGCAGCGACCCAGAAGAAGTAGACTAAAATTGTGTCGTCTCCGCGGAACCGTTCATTCAATCAATTTAGGGGCTATTTCGGGGGAAACACTCGCCCCCGCCCCGGGTTCGTCACTTGGACTTGACCGATTATATCGCGGGTGCCGGAAACAATGGGCGCGAAACGTGTTTATTTTTATTCGTTTTGTTCGTTATGCGGCTTTGTCACTTGCGGAATATGTGTATTTCCTAATTGTTTACACGATAAATTAAATGATTTTGACGAGGTTTCGACGTTCAATCGGCAAACAATTGGACAATCCGAAGACGAGACTTTTCTCGAATTCGTCCTACCGAGCATAGCAATCCGTGCATCTGAGAATCCAAGGATCCAAGAATTCAAGTATCCCAGAATCCGAGGAATTCAGAAGAGCCAGCAATTTTACTCCTCTTCGCACAATTGAAAAGGGTTAATGCCGCGCCACGCTTTCCCCGTGTTTGATGAATGTCCCGCGTCTGAATAGGAAACAAGGAAATTCGTTATCGGCCGCACAAAGCTTCTCGGGGGAAACAAGTCCCGTCGAGAGAGAGAGAGAGAAAATTCCGCGAGAGTTAATCCCATAGAAAGGCGAGCTTAGTGTCGCTTTCCTCGGAATTTTATGACGGCCTTCTTCTTGCAAGACGGTGATTTCTCCCACTGATATTACTTATTCGAGCTTTTCTTGGAATTGACCCGGAGCACGATTTTTTCGGATTTCCCCTCACGCACTTTCCACGACATGTCGCGATAGCCCGTATAAAACTTGAGAGTGATAGTTATCGTCTCGCAAACGACGCGATTGTGGAAATAACGAAACAACGGATAGTGATGAAAAATACATTACGATTAAATATATATGCAGGGGTATTCCATGCCAAATCGACCAGAGTTTGACCCTCGACCTCTCGGATTTGGTCGGCGATTTTTTATGTTGTTGTTCCACCTCTAAGGTGCACTCTGAATTTTTTTTAGATTTTTTTTTAAACAATTGATTTAGTTTTAATTTTTTAAACCGACATATCGATGGCCACAATTTAAGGTATTCCTTTCACGGAGGAGCGTATTTTGTAGGCGCTTAAGCAGGGCCTCAGCAAACTCTTGTATATTGCATTAAACTTATATAATATCAAGTTATAATTGATTATTATGTTTAATTATAAGAAAAAAGTGAAAATATTATGTGTATTTAGAAATTTCTTATTTTTCGGTAAATTTTACTGTCAGAACAATATGGCAACGCTGCGCTTTTCAGGGCGCCGATTGTAAAATGTGAAGTTGATAACAAAAGTGTCAATGTAAGTGTCAATTTCATTAATCAAAGAATATTGTGACATTTTCTTTTTATTAAAGAGAGATTTTATAATAATAATGAGTGATAAGAAACATAAAGTGAGGAGTAATGTGGGCAAAAATAAGGGACAATTTGTGAAAATAAAAGTTGATAATAAACCGTACGTGATGAACTGAAGTGTGACATGAGCGCACAGCTTGCAGCGTTGCCAAACAATTCCTTGAAAGTCGCCATTAAAAATATTCATCTATAAACCACATTTCAAGTCAACTTTTAACATAAATATTTTGTTTAAATATTCGGTGACTCTGTATTTTTATCGGCACTATCGAAAGTATAGAGTTTAGCGAATATGTAGCGCAGTTAATATTTAATATCTTAACATATTTGATAAACAAATTATTACATTGAAATGTGGAAAATAGACTTTTTCGATAACGTCACATATAAAATATCGAATTTTCAAAGTCATAATTCTTCTTTATATGTTCGGTAATATGGTTTAATTTTTTTCTGGCGTAAAGATATGCATTTTAACTTTCTCGTACCAAAAAATCAGTTAATTCTTAAGACTTTGGTGTCATGAAAGGAATACCTTAAAAATCTGAAAAATCTCAAAAATCCCGTGTTAGATATCAAAATTTTTTAACCTAGATCCAAAGTAGGCCGGCGTTCGCTTCTAATTTTTTCGAGCTTTTTTTCCCCCAAAAAATATTGAAAAAAATTATAAGCAGACGTCAGTCCACTGTAGGATGTTGCTTAAACATTTTTATATACAATACAAGATTTTTGAGAATTTTTTCAGATTTTTCCGACGCATTTTTTTTATTTTGAAAAATCGCTTCAAAAAAATTTGAAAAAATTCATAAATCTTGTGTTGTATATAAAAATGTTTAAGCAACAGCCTACAGTGGACTGACGTCTGCTTATAATTTTTTTCAATATTTATTTCGAAAAAAACTCGAAAAAAGCTCGAAAACTTAGAAGCAAACGCCGGCCCACTTTGGGCCTAGGCTTAAAAATTTTGATATGTGACACAGGATTTTTGATAATTTTTTCAGATTTTTAAATTAAGGCCATCAATATGTCGGTTTAAAAAATTATAACTAAATCAATTGTTAAAAAAAAAATCTAAAAAAAATTCAGAGTGCATCTTAGAGGTGGAACAATAACACAAAAAATCGTCGACTAAATCCGAGAGGTCGAGGGTCAAACCCTGGTCGATTTGGCATGGAATGCCCTATATATAAAATGAAAAGGAAATTTTCCCTCTTTTCCTTTACTATTGGAATCCGCTGCATTTTGTTCCCATATTTATCTAAAGCCGGCTCTGCACGATATACGTATATGACAACATTGACCAATGTGATATCGTGTATATTTCATATGATGAATTTACATACATCATGAGAATGGCCAACACTGGTATTGGCCAACGGTGATTTTTTTCGGAAAAAGAAAGGAAATGGTCAACGATACCATTTGCGTAATTGGACACATTTGGAAAAGCGAATTACAGTTTATAGTATGTTATATTTTAATAATAAATTTAATTATTTATAGTGATTTTGTGACGAGAAATCAATATTTGACATTCTACTGAACCGAATTTTAAAAAGCATATAGTAAATGTTAAATAATTAAAAAAAAACACGCACGCCCGCGCATACATATTCTCTTATCAAACAAAATAGTTACTTCAAAACAGCTAATTAAGTTTCCTATAAAATAAAACAATTAATTTATAAACTAATGATATCGCGACAATGTCTGTATAGGATATACAATCTATCCCATGCGTTGCCTGGCAGAGTTATTTCTCTGATAGGGGAACACTAATAAATTGGCTTATTGGATTCCATATTTGGTATCAGTTATCGATGACACAAAATAACGAAGTTACGCCATCAATTTGAACGGAAAGGCAATGCAAAATCCCTTAAATAAACTGGAGATTACGTAATATAAATTCAGATCAAATAAACCCCAATGCGCGAATCAAAATAATGACGGGACTTTCAGATTCGGACGCGAACAGCCGCTCCGACCTAATGACGCGTTACACCGACTATTTACGGACAAAATGAGAAAACGAGACCGTTGTAATCCCAGCCGGTAGGCGAAGGTTAACGATACGCGACGTGGGACACCGCCACGCGTGGTTAATTGATTTCCTCCAGTCGTTGAAAACTCGCCTGTAATTGAGCAGGACATTAATAACTCCGCGCACTGAATAATTCGTAGAAACGTACGTCCCCAAAGTCTGAGGACGTGCCGGAGGACTTATCGATTTCAGATTAGCACGTAAATTGGCAGGCAAAGAGAGAGAGAGAGAGAGAGGGTGCAGGCTTGGCGAGGATGCTGGGGGAGGGACGTGCTTCCGCCCACGCATCTGCTTGTCCTCAGGTCATTTGGGGATTCATTTTGATATTCTGGCTATTCCCTTCCTTTCTATATCGAGCGCTTTCCAATTGGAATTCAGCCGCCTCGTTTTGTTCTATCTTTTCCCTATTCACGCTTCCTTGAAGTGTAAAAGCGTTTTCAAATTTCTCTCATTTTCCGAAAACTCGAGTATCGTCGACACTTCCTTTAAGACCGATTCCTCAGTTTTAAAGCTCGGGTGTGAGGGAAGCGAGACAAAAGTTTTGTGACAGATGCCGCAGAACGACCGACTTAAAACTTATTTCGTCGAAAACAGAAAAATTCGATAGCCAACGTGTCAAAAGAAGTACGAAAGAGCAGATTCTGAAACGCGAGTTTAAGTAATTTCAACAGTTGGATCTGAAATATCAGCATGATGTTACATGACTCCATGATAGTGTGTATCTTACATTTCCTTTTCTCCACACGCCTTCTCTTTAGCTAGACGAGAACATTATCCCTATTATCGCCAGTCGAATAGGTCCGGGTTCATTAACCCGAGATACATCGATATATCGACAGCGGCTTTATATCTGACTGCCCGACTACCGACTACACCTGATCGCACATGCACAAAGCCATCTCCATTTTTAGGGCAGCACTCGTTTTTTTCATCGATACATCTCGTATCGGCCTTGATGGCGATTTGCGTTGACCTTGAATTTTGTTTGAGAGATCAGTAGGATGGTAACGCGATATCATAAGTAATATGATACCATCAGTAACGCGATATAGCGTCATAGCGTCATTTTTAACGATAAAACTTTGCGTTCGTATCGTTTCCGCGAGTCATTCGCTGCGAAAACTTTCGGGCAACTTGTATTGTCGTACTTTTAGCGCTAAATTTAATGGCTTGGTTTTTTTTGTCCTGCAAGTTTTCATGGAAAAGCTTTTCGTCTTCTTTTTCTTATCCTGACGCGAATCTCTCGAAGATTTTCCGGACTGGAAGGTTTTTCGTAAAAAAAGTCGACCGTAAAGCCCAGATTATATCTTGTCTTATGAATTTCCCGATATTCGGTCGAGGCGGGACGCTTTCCGGATTCATGGGAAGCACCGCGGGGGATTTTTATTCGACTACGAGAAAGCGGCGGATAATAAAGTAAATCTTCATCTGCAACCCGAAACATTGCGCACGAAGATTACTGGAGGGAAAGCGTTTATAGCGTCAAACCGGCGCGCATTTGCCATTTGCCGTTTATTATTGTCGCAGTCTGTTGTACTTGCGCGCTGTGGAAATCGCGCGGAAGTTGAGAGGCGGAAGTAGAATGGATTTCGGTAGAATGCCCGGCTTTCTTTTATTCGAACTAAATGATCTGTTTGAAAATGCTTTTATCCAACTAACGATTTTGTATGGTACATGCGATACCAGGTCTGGTGTTTCGTGTAGATTGCTGCACACACGAAAAATAAATCGATGCTTGCAATAGTTAAAACATTATTCGATAAAATCTTTACAGTTTCTTATTATATCAATATTCAGGCATGTCGATTAAATCTCTGTGCCGTCCCGTTACGAGAATAAAAAAAAATTCGGAATTATAATGAGCTTTCGAATCTCGAATTTATTAAATATAATTAAAAACTTCGAGTTGCAAAATTGAACATTTTCACTCAGTTTGCCTTAAAAAAAAAAAATTAATTTTCTGTCCACAGTGATAACTCCAAAATTTTAATCTTACTTCCAGAGCTTATATAGATGTAACTCATATGTAGTTCTGAGTCGTTCATTTTCTTGAATGTTAGAGGGTAAACTGCACAGAGGTGTTGAATATCTATCAATGCCAACGACATTCGGTGAATATATTGTCATCAATAACGATTTTAAAAATAGCTTAGGTAAATGTGCCTTTTAATATACGAACGAAAGTTTCTGTGAGTTAAGTATCCGATATTCCTGTCGACTTTTCTTAATCCGATATGCTTTGATAAATAATGAGAGTTCTCGTTGGCGAAGTGTATCAAAAAGACAAAGCGTTAAAAATTGAACACACTATAGAGATATACGATCAAGGTAGCTATTTAAGAACGTCAAGTAGATATATATTCCTAAAATTCCTAAAGTGCGCGGATACCGCAGGCATCGAAGAAATTGAGAAAGCCGATAAGATTAAAAAATTCGAAAGTCCTGAAAGCCCATTACATTTTCGCGCAGGACCTAATTTCTCAATAACTTGCAGCAAAATTTATAACTGTTATTTAAACGGAAATGTATGCGATTCTATTCGCAAAATTTCTTTGTGGTCTATATACGTGGTATATATACGTATAATAAACGAGAAACATGAATAATTAAATGGAAAGATATAGAGATGTAAGCGAGTTTCAAATTATACATGAGCAGCTTTCTTTTTAATTGTAAGCGATTAGGATGTTAAAATTTCGCTTAAAAATTGCAGCTTTCAAAACAGGAATTGCGATCAACAATTTTTCATTTTTACATCGTCGTTACAGCTATGTTACGCGGTATATATTAGAATAAAAAGTTTTTTTTTTTTTCAGAAATTTAGTTTGTAATTAAATTCTCTTATGTCTATGTACTCTGTCGTGTCTGTTACATTTAAACGAGATAAATAAATGAAGGAGGTATAAAAAGGACAATTTACGGGATGTTTCAGTGGGCGTGCGGGGGTGACTGGAGTGATGGGATGGGGCCAGAGCCCCATGGAGTTCGGGTAGACCCGTCTCCGGCCCAGCTCCCCAGCCCCCTCCGCCATCGATATCGACACCGCTCCTGCCAGCGTCGCAGAGGGCCGCCTCGATCGCGATGGAGGCCTCTAGCAATCAACAACAAAAAGAAAAGGAGCCACGCGTTCACAGGCCTTACGCCTTCGACAAGGTATATTCTTTTCTCGCGCGCAAATAAATCGTTTCCTAGTCGCGGCGCTACAAACATGATAATTAAAGGGTCTCTTGGGACCCTATTGGAGTCCTAACTGATCGTAATAATAATCGATCGTCACGTTTGATCTCTGGCGCAGATGGAGGGGCTGGTGCGGGAGATGCAAGACCCTGAGAGAGGGGTACCCGTGCGCAGCCAAAAACAATTTCTCACCTCGATTCCCTCAGCGTTCATGGGTGAGTGCCATCGGTACTTGCGTTGTGGAGTAAACGTAAGCGGCCATCACGGCCAGGACACTACAGTAGGCTGCCTGCGTGTTGCAGGTTACGACCTCATCGAGTGGCTGATGGACCGGCTTGCCATCGAAGAATCAGGTACGGGCTCGTATGTCTACTACTGATCGTTGCCGGCTGGCTCTCCCGGCTCTCCGCTGCTGTGTCGCTCTTTCCCTCGCTCACTCACTCGCTCGGCTCGGCCGCGGCGTCTCCTCGACACGCTCAACCGCAACGCTCTGCCTGAGGATATGCTAATGAGACACTATCGATAGTTTCGCTTCATAGCATCCGATCCTTTAAAGAATATCGATTATACACTAACCACATATTCTACACTACACCGGATATTCTCTTTCGTTTAAGTCAAATATGAATTATCCGTACTGCTGGTTAATAAAAAGACGAGAGATTAATGAGAGAACTCGAAAATTTGCAGCTGTTTCGTGAGAAACGGTGAATTTTCCGCGGATTTTCTGTATTTCGTTCGCGGTTTTTTTCGCGTTCGCGCGGCCATGCAAATGAAGACCGTAAATTACAGTCCCGTTTCGTCGCGAAGCGAGCGTAATTTGCGTCGAATGAATTTAGAGAATAAATGTCTTCGTAACTCAGAGAAATAACGGAGGAATTCGCGGATAATGTTTATGGAAATACCGATGAATTGATATTTATCTATACGATAGGTTAATCGAATTAATCATTCGTTAATAATCACTTAGCGAGAGAGAAAGAGAGAGAGGGAGCGAGAATTGGTGCCCTCTTCGAAGAAAGCTCATCGAAGCAACGAACAATCAGTTTCCTAAAAAATAAAGCGATAATTTTATTGTGAGCAACTCTCGATGTATGTCCGCTAAAAAAACTGTGCGAACCGACAAACTCAACCAAAATATGATAGAGTAATGTGGCATTGTTTGAGTGATCTGCACGACCCTAAGCGAGACCCTTATAGAGACCCTTCTGTCCGATATAAGCGTTTCTTCAGATATGAAAATGGATTATTATGTTTGACAATAGAGGCGGTCCATATTGCTAATCAACTATGCCAGTACGGCTACTTCTTCCCGGTGAATGACTCCAAGACACTTACTGTTAAGGACGATAGCTCTCTGTATAGGTTTCAGGTGAGTCGCAGAGTAATTAATTCAAAAGTAATTAAAAGATAAAACTTGCGCGACTTATCCGCAATCATTTAATCCTTATCTGAAAAATTAATACGCGTAGACACCCTATTATTGGCCGTGGCAACATAGAACCCCCGACAACGTGGAGTACGCAATCTATCTGGCTAAACGAACTCTGAGGAACAAACAACGTCACGCTCTCGAGGATTATGAGATCGTATGTAAATTTACGTTGCTAATTACGTAGCGATAATACAAATCGAAAAACTCACATTTCGAGGACTTTCTTTCATAAAAGAAAATCGTTCCTATCTTTAGGAAGCTTTGAACAGCTTGCGCAAGAACTTACAGAACAAATGGGACATAATACAGCTACAAGCGGAAGAACAGGTGAATAACTATTCTTTACTATCGCACGCTTAATTTTCATCAATAGCATACCGGGAGTATTGTCCCGCGTAAATGCCCATTCCGCATATTCGAGCACGTGACTCCTTGAAATGCTGCTGATTGTGTGGGCTCAGGTACGCCTATCCAAGGAGCGCAAGAAAGGCGACAAGATAGTGAGCGACTCCCAGGAACGAGCATTTTGGAGAGTCTATCGGCCGCCACCCGGTTGTCTCAGTAGCCTGGAAGTCGTGCCCGTACCCACTCGTTTTCGTCCTGGACTTCCACGACCTCCGTCACGCAAACGCACTCTCACCGATCTACAACGTGAGGTGAGCGCCAATTATATGTATATCGATCGGCAATGTTTTCGATACCGTTCTGAATCTCCCCGTACATAACATGCCCGTGTACGACTGTAACAGGTGGCCCTTCTACGAAACAGTTTGACACGCACGAGAATAAAGGTTTCGACTGCGATCGAAAATTTTAAATCATACTTTGAAACGTACGTGGAATACGATCCGATGTTCGTACAGCCGCAACCTTCCAATCCATGGATCACCGACGATCATATGTTTTGGCAACTGAATAGTCCCTTGTAAGTAATTGAAATCTGATATCGCACCTATGGAACGCGGCAATTTCAATAATGTACTTTTTTACGCCGATCTAGAGTGGAAGTTCCTACAGAGAAACGTGTTAAACGATGGGCGCTATCGATGGAAGAACTTATGTCTGATCCTACAGGTAAAACTTTTCCATCGCATTAATAGAACATTACATATTCATTCCGCAAGCAAACTCACGAGCGCTATTCTGCCGCAACAGGTTTACAAGAATTCACGAATTATTTAAGAAAGGAGTACAGTCACGAAAATATAAGATTTTGGCTGGCGGTCAAAGATCTCAGGCATAGTTTTCAAGCACAAATACCTGACAAAGTCAACGAAATTTTTAGGTACGCATTGTATTTATATGCTATGCTATGTTATTTCGTTCTGTGAAAAAAAAAAACAATCTATTTGTAACCGTGACATTTGAAAATTCACGCAGAGAATTCCTGGCACCTGGAGCTCCCTGCGAAATCAACATAGATGGAAAAACAATGGAGAAGGTTCATCAGGAGATGAAAAATCCGAGCAGATTTACGTTCGATTCCGCCGCGGAGCACGTATATACGCTATTGCTAAAGAAGGACTGCTACCCTAGATTTATTCGTTCCGATCAATATCGTAATCTCTTAGCTGCGGGCGTGCAACCTCTGCAGAAGAAGAGGTAAGCTCTCGTCGAATCACGTGTCGTATTACGCAAGATACAACCGTATCGAGGAGTATCCCGTCTGTCGTCTGTTTTTTCCAGATTTTTTGGCTTCGGCGGCCAAGCCAAGAAGAAAGTTTCCTCCACTTCGACACCAACGTCTAGCACTTTGCAGCACGCTAATATAGGTGGCGGCAGCGGCGGTGGCAGACGTAGGGGAAGCGACCGGAGCCTGTCCGGAAGCGCCCACGAGCTCGCGATTTGCGGCGTCCGCGACGTCACTTCCGCACCGCGAGTTCCGCATTCCCATAGCCAGTCGAATCTCACCGACATCCCATACAGGTATTCGGGGTTTGGGGGTATGCCTGAGAGTAGGGTTTCCGAGAGAGAATTTTTCTCTCTGTCCTACACTCTGTCCGGCGAGATACGGGCTATTTTCTTGCGCTTTTAGCATGTTATCAGTTCGCGCGATATCGGGTGGACGTGGCCGATGATAGGCTTATTCGTGCGCGTCGTATTTTCAGGGGAGATCTACCACGACTCGTAAAGATACCTTCGAGGCCTAGTCCACGTAGTATTCAGTAAGTCACCCCCGATACATACCACGGTTTTCTCAATTAAGTGTAGGAGCGGACGGCGCGCGCGGAGAGCGCTTAATTAATAGAGCCTTCTACTCGCGTTTCCCCGTGCCGCGTGCCGCGGCTCTCGCATATCTCGAAATAACGATCGAGCTCGAACGAGTCCGGTCCGAGATACCCGAAGGGAGGGCAGGACGAGTTATTAACGCGCTCCGTTGCACAGCCGCGCCGCTCCGCTGTACCTTCGTATCAGACTTTGGCAGACCCTCTTATCTCGGTGTGTTTGAAAACTCTCGCACTATCAAAGAAATCCATTTTATGAAAAACTCACCAAAATGTGTGTAAAGCGTGTATCATTGGTAATAGTACTGTATGACAATATTGTGCCCGTTCTCCTTGATAAATCTCAGTGTTTTTGAATACTATCAAATACCCATCGTCCGCGGAGTGTCTCAAAGACACGTTATCACAGACAAATAGCTCATTACCTATTCTTTCGATCTTTCGATAAACGCGTGTCTCTCTTTCTCCTGTAAAGAAAACAACTGTTATTGACCTGTGTTATTTGTATTTTGAGACACTCTGTATAATTGTCTTGATGTCGATATTATGTCGTCCGATATTGTGTATCAAGTTTATTATACCTCTGTGCTCATATATCTCTGTAATATTTTATGTATAACACATTACCTATACGTGCGACACTTGTCGAGCACATTATTTGCACAGCAAGAAAAGTATATGTACAAACTCTTTCCACGTTACAAAAATTTTTTTGTGATTTACGTTTTCCGATGTGTCGTAAGAGTGTTTTTACAATGTTAAAATCCTGGCGTTTACTCAAATGCGCGACAAGAACTCCGATTGAAACGATTCCACGAAAGAACAAATCGCCCAGATCCCTACAGCATGCTCCGAAATTATTCATCTCTGCTCCGCTACGGAGTTTTCGAGCGGGATAATTCCGGAACACCCTTGCAATATTTATATGTATAAAGACCATATTCCCTAGTCGTTGAATGGAGCCGCATGCATGTACCGACTAATGTTGGTAAAAGACACATATATACATATATACATATATATATACATATATATACATATATATATATATATATATATATATATATATATATATATGTGTGTGTGTGTGTATATACGCAGAACACACGAAACACGCACACGAAGCGCGTGGTATCTCTGCCTTTAAGCAAATGGTGAAAACTAAATATAATAAAGTTCCTGTTGTCAGGGATGCTGGCGCGACGGAAGTGGTAGTTCGCCCTATGGACGACGTATGTCCATGGGAGGCCGTGCCGGGCCCGAGCACGGAACCCGGAGGAACGGGGGACACCGCGTCCTCTGGAAGGACAGCGTCAGCTGATCAGACTCGACACGTGTGGGACAGCGGCGGCTATTCGACAACCACGTACTCTGCCGAGGCCGCGCGTGCCTCCCGGAAGAATTCCGCACAGTTAGACTCGTGCAGCTCGTCGTCGGACGTCAGCCTTGCTATCGCGGACGTCTCCGAGCGATTGCGGAAGTCGTGTAGTTTGCAGCATAGCGGTAGCGTAGGTCGGTACGCGATAATCAACGCGGCAATGCGACGTAAGAGTACAGCCTCTAAATTATCCCTCTCCTGATTTTGAAACGCACAGGTACATCGACTTCAGGCCCCAGCACGATAACGCGAAATTATTCTACCTGCTCAGCAAGCGGCCGTATCAGGCTAGCCGAGATAGGTCGCGCGTCCGTGTCGTCCTGCAACTATCCGTCGCCCCAGCAGTCATTCGAGTATTCCCACGCGGTGGTGGAAAGGGTGGTCGAAAAGCTGGAAGAGAGATCGTCTCTGGAAAAGATAGTGCCCGAAGAGGAAACCGTCGCGGAAGCCATCGTCGAAAAAGAGAGTCAGTCGAGTCCTAAGTAAGTTCGTCGCGAGAACGCGAGACCCAAGGCTTATACGATCGAGAAACGAGATTCCGTTTTTGTCCCCCAGAACAACCGCAAAGGCGCCCTTGATCAGCATCAGCGCGATCGTGGGCGACCTGCCGAGCGACAATTCCACGATGGAGAACATCGACGAGGATGGGAGCGAGAGCTGCACGGCAAAGGACGCGGGGGAGATTGTCGCCGAGGAGAAATTGAAGGGCGAGGACTCGCGGGCCGACACCGGGGCGGATGTGTCGCCGGTGGCCGAAGAACCGGCGACGACTGAGGAGCTGCCCGAGGAGACGCAGGTCATGCCTGTCTGGGAACCGGACGCCCAACAGGAGGACCGACCAGCGGTGGCGCAGGCAGTGCCTCGGGAGAAGCGTGACAATAATGTTAACGAAGTATGCCCGTGGGAGGATGAGTAAGTACCTGACCCGACCTAAAAAAAAAAAAACCGCTTACGCTCGCTGTCGCGACGATCGCTTCCAAAAAGTTTCCTCTCACCGTACTCAAGTAATAACCTCAAGTAATAATGTTCTTATTCGTACGGAGCGCTCACTGTCTGTTTCAGGGAAAACTGTAGAGTGGATGCACCCTATGTAAAAACCTATGCGACTTTAGGTTACTTGTAATTTGTCGTTGATATTAAATCTTGCATTTTACATTTACAACATTCATAAATTCGATTTCCACTTTAATCCACTTTACTGAGCTCGCGTGTCCAGACCATTGCGCGACAGAAGCTTCGGTCGCTGCGTTAATTAAGCCAAGACACAAGCATCTTTTGAGGATAAAGTTTACTTACGCGGAAGCAGTTCGAGGATTTAATAAAAATGACAGTGCACCCACTGCACCCTTGCAGTCGCACGAGAGTACTGATAGCATTCAAATACTTACAGACAGATTTTCACGATGTTGCGTGCAATGGCAAGATTGCGAGCAGTTCGTTCGATAGAATCGATAACGCGAAAATATATATGTCGCGGGACGAAAAACGAGCATCGACGTCTAGTCTCTAACTTTGCATCGAGTCACTATATTTATATTGTACGTAAGGCCTAACGATCCGATTCGTTTGCTCGAGATCATCGAAATGGATCCGTTTAGATCTCGATTAACGATCAAGGATTTGGAGCTCTTTCGTCCTTTCCGATTTTACTAGAGTTATTTAATCTCTACTATTTGTACCATCCTTGGTATACGCGAGCCACGTTGAAAGAAATGAGCAAAGCGATTATTTGTGACTTGTGAAAGAAAGAGATCGCGAGCATTATTGTTTAAAACTAGAGCGCAGTTTCCAATGTTGTTCGTAGATTAACGTAGATCGACGTAGATTAACGTAGACTAGGAAACCTAGAAGATGTGTCGCGTGACAAGTAGCGATAGATATCGTGTCTCTCTCTGTGTTTGAGTAAACGTTCAAAACGGCGATGTATCGCCGAGCAAAGTAGGAAGTAAATTCAAGTGCGCGGATTGGGAACTCATTATACTCTGTTCGTGTATCACGTGCAAACGCGCGCTCGTAGGGTGCTAGCCATTTGAGCCGTTTGGCCGCTCTCCATGGTCGCGCTTTTCCCGGATACCTCACTTTTCCGCGAGTCACGCACCTCGCGAAACTTTACGTTCCGATATCCCGATGTATTACGTTACAGAACACGATTTCACCCTTGGAGACGTAATTGCTTCTCTAATTAACCAGACTGTGCGATTGACGATGTCGCATTGAGATACTCTCAAAATATCTCGTTTACTCCCGAAATACATTATGTATCCCAATGCGCGGCGCGTTACATTATTTAAGTGCACGTATTAAGCCTTCGTCTTACTTACAATTAGACTTATCGCCTAGAGTTAGCGTGTTTTACGCAGTGTCTTACGAGCGTTCGATATTAATTATTGAAAAAATTATCGTGACCTGATATATATTAAGTGTCTATTTCGTGTTATAGTTCGCCAGTTATAGTTGTCGTAATCGCGTCGCATTGATTAACATATCGGCGACGATTACGGCGATTTTATGACGTTTCACTCGTTGATCCTCGGTTAAGCGAGTCGCGAATTAAACAACAACAACAAAAAAAGAATAAAACATGTTTGCGCGAATCTAAGTAATATTGATGTCTAAATGCCCATTGCTATCGGATCTCTGATTCTGTTACTGCCCCAGGATCTCCGATCCGACGCTAAAAATTGAAGGAGAGGCTATTTAAAATTAAATGCATTGTGCTCTTATCTGTATCTTATCGGTGTCTTTTCGTGTATAGTTTTAAGATACCAAAACGATACATAATTATTACACTAATTACCGACGACGTGTTTGTCTCGCGTTCAATCGCGAACCTTATGACGATTCTGACGGCCAAATCCTCGTTTTTTTCTCAACGAGAGGAAAGGATAATCAAACTGACGGGAACAAAGAACGATTGCCTAATTACGCTGCACTTTACACGAAAAGATGGGAAACGAACGAACGTGAAAAAAAAACATGGTGGTTCTAACGCATACTAGTTTTTCTAACGAACTGAATATCGAATCTTTAGGTGACAATTTATCTTCAAAGTTCTTCGAATTTAAGAATGTATCTGCGTTTATTTTCTACGTGCAATAGCGAGTGTAAAACAGATGCGAGATACACTCCATTGACAATTATTTGAGTGCAACGAGCTGAGTACGACGGTCTGGACACGCGAGTGTAATCATATAAGGACTCTAAAAATATTCACGACGATCGTATTGTTAATTCAGCAGCTCAACTTAAGTATCGTAAAGTTCTTACGATAGGTTAGCCGATAATAAGACTAGAAATAACACATGTCCCGTGATTGAGATATAAGAAAATATTAATATATGATATACTTACTATACCGTACGATTTCGTTCGCGTCATATAGCGGTAACGAATTACTTTTCAATTCGCCCGCGTAATTTTATTGTACAAGCCGAGATAAAAGTGCGTCGTAGTCAAAAAACTTTGAGAAGACACGGAAGACGAGAGAATTCGGATGCTGGAGAAAAAGCGAATTCTAAGCAACGGAGGAACCATGGAGCAAATCAAAAAAGAAAAAAAAAACGTTACTCGCCTAAGAGGGACGCTATTCTGTGTAAATAATTTTCGATATCATCGCGTATATATTCGCTCTCTTTTGAATCTTGGAAAATATATATTATATTCATCCATCACGCAAGCCAAAGACCTCTTCTCTCTCTCATATCGCGTCGAACAACGCAGAGGTGCGCGCAAGCTATATATCCTTCGTGCTCTGTTGCCGAAAATAGTCCTGACATTTCATAAAATGAATTAAGTGAGTTAAGTGAAACAGATAAGATAATTTTACTGTTATTAAATTGCAACGAACGATTATCGTAAACATTTAGAATAACGCGAGAACAACTTCTAAGCCTTAAAGCTTTAAATTATGACAAAATAAATTGTACATTTTTCTAAATGTTAATCGCGATTGTAGTAATTATTTATTCAGTTTTATATCGAATCACGATCTCGTCTCCGTTAATCACAAAAGCAAGCTACGTTATTCGGCAGCAGAGCCAACGCGACGGAGCAACCTTGAGCGCATCCGTCATACCGTATTTTGTATAACTTGAAACTGCGACGTTTGGCTGTACATCGATTACATTTTTAGCATACCATTGTCAGAATTGCAAGTTCAGCTCGGAAAGTTTTGTCGTTAAATAATGTTTAATATTTAACGCAAAAACGCTCTGAAACACACACAAATAACATCTCTTTGCTATTCCGACGTTGCGATTAACTCCTCAGCGAAGGGAATGGCAATTATTTCGAGTGCCGGTCAATCCGGAAGAGGTGACACTTTGTATGATATGACGGAACGGAAATGTGATTAGCTCGCATAATTAGCGTATGTAGGCGAAACGGTAGATACGAATAAAGTCCAGAATATCTTTCTAAAATAGTATATATTGCTAAAATATTATTGCGCAATGAAAAAATTGACTTGCATAAATTATTCGTATTTTGCAAGTTGCACTTTTGAAAAGTCTGCGAGATCCGGTGCCACCGTATATATTGTAACATTATTTTATACAGCGTTTCTAAACGTTTTGTTTTATAGTATGTTTTCGCGATTTGAGCAGAAATTGTAAATATTGTTGAAATAGTATTTATGTACGTTTGCCGCATGCATTTATAAATTGCAATTATATATATTTATCTAGATATAAAATGAGTAAGTGCGACACTTTTGTAGTAAACGCAATAATGTTGTCGTGTTTATTACGGAAGGTGTGAGAAAATGATTTCAATTCTCGTAACCTCGAAAAAATATAATAATTATTATCGCCGTAAATAGAGATTTAAAGAAGAAAAAAAAACAATGTACTGTGGATTACAGCTGACGATGCGAATGGACAGGATTACCCCTTGGATCCGTGAAATGCGAGATATTTTTATTATTATTAGAAAATCTAGACAGATCTATCAAAAATTGACGGGACTTAGGCAACAAAATGTGCACCAATTAAAAGTTCAGCGCACTGTCGCTTCTACGCTGAATTAAGATCTAGTTCCAATTGCCGCGAATCCACGATTGGTCGAGCGATGTGATTCTTGCGATTGTCGAGTTGTGCGAAGTTACGCGCGCGTATACAATGAAGCGATCGTTCAAAGTGCGTATTATCACCCGCAGCCTAAGGACGCCATCAGTATAATAAAGATATAAAGACATAAAGGTATAAAGCGAGTGAAAATTGTTGCGTATTACATTTTATTGCGCGTGCTAGATCTGATCTGAGATCCAGACGTTTGACATCTATGGATGTCGAATTCCTAATCAATTTCGGGCTATTCCGAGGAAAATTCACTTTCAGGGTTTCAGATCTACGAGCGGGATCGATCCGTTCGAGTCGGCGCTTGATCTCAAAAGGTCTTCCTGGCGGAGACCTGAGAGAGACAGGCATCGATATCCCTCGGTCGACGAGGCGCGATCCAAGGATCCGGGAACTCGGTTCTAGGATCCCTGAATCTCCCAGTCTAACCTTTCGCGTCTCGAGACTTTTCGCGACGGAAGACGGTCGGATTTTCGTGGCGCGTAGGCGCGGCGCGGCGTGTCGTCGCGCGTAGAAACGTGAAAGATATTCATGATCATCATTTTCCCTGTCCTCTCTCCGAAATTGCATTCCGCCCGGCCCGGGAAACACGCGGCGTAATATTCACACGAAGCCTAAAAGACGAGAACGCTAGTGACAATAGTGACAAAACGTGTGTATAAGTTGCGTCGTTGAATTTTTGCGAGAACAGAAGAAGGGTGAGGAAGCAAATTGCCCTCAAGATTGCCTCCGACTTACCCGTCCATCCCTCGTTTCCTAATAGATCCAACTTGTCGCGTTGGAAGAGAATCGATGTCGTTCCGATTACTCCGATTATTCCGTCTCGATCGTTCCCGCGATCAGTCTCGAAAGGTATATAAATCCGATCGTAATTTGTGATTCATTTCTCGTCAAACCTTGGAGAACCTTTTACGCTTCCGCGTGCTAACGACGGTTATTCGATACATCAAACGGGAGACCCGTGACTGTAAAATGCGCTTTACAAGAATACAGAAACGTCGTTAAAATTGCACTGCCAGCTAAACGATAGTTGAAAGAAAAAGAAAACTATATTTTTCATTGTTTTGTAAGCAAAACATCGAACGCCGATTACCGATAACGTAACGAATCGTCGGGGTCAGAATGAACTGCTCAGACAACACGCATGTCCCAAATCGAGACGGCCTAGTTTACACCGTGCGTTTAGGCCGCGACCTATACCTTATATTCAACCCAAACACGATAGGTCGCGACGATGTAAACAGTTGCGACCTCGCTTGGGTCAGGTCTCTTTTTCGCGTGCCCTAACCTAAATTAGGCCACATGATGTAACGCGTGTAAACGCAGGTGACCTAAAGTGCAGAAAGTGTACAAATATATTTCTTCAACAAACACAGCAAATAGACACGATCGACACGATACAAAGTACAAAGTGTACAAACGATATTGGTTATGTATAAGTCCGTAAACCTTTCAATCTTCTTCAACAGATGGCATTCAGATGAGGACTAAATTTTTACCTATATTCGACCCAAAAGTATCATAGGTCTACATGGTGTAAACGTTTTGTTTAGAAGCCTATTTTAGGTCAGGGCATAGGTCAGGTCGCGATTAGGTCGCACGGTGTAAACTAGGCCAGTTCATTCTGGGTAACGATCGTTTGCGAATGTAATCATTGACGAGAGTAATCGGGTCACTCACCGGCCACAGTAGGTAGCTCCTCCGTCGTTTTCTCGTCCGTCGACTCCTCGTCCATTCCCTCGTCGAACACGTGTGGAGAGCGCGAGAACTGATATCGCAGCCGCGTCGATCATCCGCTAATTAATGTGATAACGCCTGGCTACCACTCCGAGAGCCACCAAACGCCATCGCGAATATCGGGAAACGATAGATTGATCACCGCTCGCGCCGGCTAATTATCGTTCCGTTCGCTCGATTTGCCACTCCAAGCCACCTTAACTGGTTTGCGACGCGCGAACGCGGACGATGCACTCTGGAGTCCAGAGTCTGGACGGATAAATAACGGGAAACGAGATTGCTCGCGTCGTCCACCCGATCGCTCACCAAACCTTCCGAGAGTTCCGAGATCCGTTAGGAAAGTCCCAACGACGCGACGGCAACTTCACGTCGGTCACGTTACCCGCTGCTTGCGACGACGATCGTCGATGGAGAATCGAGAATCGAGAGACCGCGTGGTTTAACCGCAGGCATGCACGTCGATCGACGATGTCGCGAGTCGCGAAGAACACGCGATCTCGTCTTCGGCCGAAAAGTACGCGGCGGTAATGAACGGAGATCACTCGGCGGTTCGGCTCGGCTCGGCTCGGCTCAACGAATGTCTCGACTCTCGACACTCTCAATGCGCGTCTCCCCACCTCGTCTCACCTCGCGCGGTGGTTACAGTGGTTACACGTTTACACTTCGCAGACAGAGCGAAGTTACGCGCGAGTCGATGTAAACACGCCGCGTTCGAGCCGGCCAGTCGGAGTCAAAACAAAAACTTCCACTAGAATAATGGCCTAGTTTACACCAGACCGTTTGATACGCGTACCAAGTACTATATCCGTATCAAATCCGTATCAAATCTCGGGTTATCCCGGTGTAAACCGAGATTTGATACGAATTTGATACAGATATAGTACTTGGTACGCGTATCAAACGGTCGGTATAAACTAGGCCAATATCAAAGTAAAGTCAGCTGACTGCTGTCGCGTGATTTAACGCAAATAATGCAAAGCCGAATTCTATCGTGTTATCGCGGGAACAATTTTTGCCGATGGTAAAGACGCATTCGAACCCGATGCATAACGTCATGTAAAAGGCTCCTGGGTACTCGTCGCGGCCATGTTGGAATGTGACGTCAGAAGCGAAAAATGACACGTTGAAAATTCTTGAGTAGTATTTCCAAATAAAAAAATATTTGCTTAAAATAACACTACAAATCACTTCAGCACACTTTGAAAATACTCCGAATTGAGGTTAAGTTTACCTCTTTCCCTTGAAGGTTAATAAACAGCCGTACAACAAATGTGATACGATACAGGCTTGTGCACAGGCGCATGACTAGATTTCGTATTACATTCATGACGGCCGAACTTCCTCGATGTCGATAATGTCAACATTTCTAATTTTGTTTTTCCTATATCTGTCTTTGTCTAACGAAATGACATCTGTCTTTGTTCGATTGCTGCGCCATCTCTGCTTACTAGACTGCGTGTATATTTTTGTAGAAAATATGCACGATTTCTTCGAAGCTCTAATTTTTTTTCCAGGCTTTCAATCTCAATTTCAAAGGTACGTTATTGTTTGTACACGTATTCTGAAGAGTGAGAACATTTCATTTCGTACATATAACTTATACAACTGTTTATATTAGAAAATAAGGTTATGAGGTGACAGCATTTTTACATTTTTTTTTCAATCATCACTAATTTTTTATAATCCCACTCTTTATTAGTACCTATATTTTACTCCTGTAAAAGGATTTTGCGCTCTATAAAGCCGTTTCAAAGAACGAGCTTTGACTGTAATTGTCGGTAATTGTCCCCTGTCCCCCTATTCTGTAATTAACTTGTAACGACAGTGTCGGTATCGTTACGTTGTCGTTGCGCATGTATACTATATGGGAAAAAAGCTGCGCAAGGACGACATAACAATACCGACACTGTCGTTAGAGTTACAGAATAGGGGTCCAGGATCCCCTTAATTGTCAAGGGAAAGAGGTAGACTTAACTTCAACTCGAAGTATTTTCGAAGTGTGCTGAAGTGATCTGTAGTGTTATTTTAAGCAAATATATATCTTTTTATTTGGAAATACTACGCAAGAATTATCAACGTGTTAATTTTCAACATTTCTCGCTTTCTGACGTCACATCTCATGAGATGTCGGGAAAGAGCTCAGGAGCCTTAAACGGGAAAGTAATTTTCACGTATTTTCAATTAAAACACTCTGCGACGGTATTATTATATATGTCTACGTTATAACTAAGATTTATGTAGTCTTTCGTTGATATGCTAACCCTGTTTGACTGTCATGACGGAAATATCTACAAAAATAAAACTGGCCAAGACTGCTCTATGACGGAAATATCCGCACATTCAAAAAAGAATACCGCAGCAATTAGAATGAGATACTATATTTTTGTTTTTGAGATCGCAAAATTTAAATCTGAAATCAAAATTGCGAAATTTAAAATGACGGGTCCAGTATGGCGGACCAAAAATACAAAAAATTTTTATACAAAAAATGTTTGACTTGCATAAAAATTTGTATTTCAAGATTTTTAAAACCGCTAATTTCAAATTTAAAATAAAAAATCAAGAATTTAAAATGGCAAATTCAATATAATGAGCAAAAAATTCAAAATATGGTTTAATTTGAAAAAGTTTTGAGTAGTTTTTGAAGCTGCTAATTCCATTTTAAAAATTGAAATTTGTTAATTTAAAATGACGGATTTAATATGACGGCCAAAAAATTTAAAATATCGCATCAGTTTGTATAAAAATTAATTTATAAGAATTTAATAAATTTTTCCGTTATTTTAAATTTTGACCTTATATAGATTTAGATTCAGCGACTCAAAAAACCCCCAAGAAGCACATCATTTTTATAATTTTATTATCTCTTTCGTCAAAAGCATTTTTGGCTTACAAGAATTTTTTGTCTAACAGCCAAGGGGTTAACGATTATATCGATATTTTCCTGTCTTTTTTTTTTCACCGCTTTCGTCTTCTGGCATGTCCGACACGTCAAGTTGGCAGGTCGCCTCTCGAATTTTTCGACGTGCACCTCGCACGGTAACACCATCGAAATCGCTTTGTAAAGCGACTGCTTTATTCCCGGTTTATCGTTGCATTATTCCCGTGTTCCAAAGGCGTGATTGAGGGCATGGAACGAGCGTCGGGTGATCTCGGACGGAATCGCTTCGATCAGTCGCGATTAGCGCGAACGCAGCGCAAAACAGTGAAGAATGGAGCCGTCGGCGTCCGCAGTGAGGAGGCAGCGGCGTCGTCGCATCGGTCGGTGAGTAAACGCATCCGTTACGTTTGAACGAATGATCCTTAATACCCCTGTTTACTTCAACTTGCGACGATTTGACGTTATTGCGTGGTAAAAAAAAAAGAGAAAAGAAAATTACGTGCGTAACGCATCACATGCATTCGGCACCGGATTACTTTCTGCTCCGAGGTTCTGCGAGAAGCGACATTATTTCCGATAACTTCCCGCGCGAGTTCTAAGGTTCGATCTTTGAACGATTCTTTCTTCTTTTCCTTTTACATTCTGACGCGAAAAGTTAACCCGACTCCTTTCGTAATCGCGTCGTCCTGAAGACGCGCTCATCGAGAGGATGTTGTCGACCCGCTCGTCCATCGATCGTCCATGAAATCGAAGTCTGATGCGGCTATCGCGATTAATCTGCGTGTGTCGCGATTAATCCTCTCATTCCCAATTTACATCTCTCTAATTTCGTCAAAGATACAGCTGATCTGAGGAGCTTTAGTTAGATTTAATTAACGCAATAACGTGACAATATATATATATTATTATAATTTCTAAGTGTTATCAAAATAAAGACAATAATTTATAAACGTGGTTTATTTTGCCTCATTATTAATGCATGAAATAATCCGTCAAAATGAAAAGTGCTCCGCTAATTGCATAATATTGCGTATCGATGATGCCTCACGGGAATGAGAGGATTAATGATAAAGCGGCGAGTCGTGTGGAAAATACGGAAGGAAGAGAGAGAAGGAGAGAGAGAGGGCACACGAATAATTAAATCGCAACCGACGGACGTTAACTAGTTGCATAGCAATTAGCAGTAAAGTGACAGATAGATGATACCTTTGTATTATCGTACACCTCGCGCTAGAATTTGGCGTAGCACGAGTTTTATCTTGACGCGCTAATGTTACGCACTTTGGCGACGATTAATTATTATTATTATACGCGTATGAAGACGCGCTGATATAAATATACATATACATATATATATATATATATATATATATATA